CTTCTTGTAAGTGTTTTGGTAAAATTTCTGCGGTGCTGGAAACCATCTGGCACCGGCGGACTTTCTTTTTTAGGGGAGATTTTTAATTGCCGTGTTTCTATTTCAGCTCTTTGATATTCGCGTCTGCTTCAGGAATCTATTTCTTCCTGCGTTGAGCCCGTTAGGGCTGTGCTGTTTCCTTAGGAAATTTGTTCATTTCCTCCACATTTCCAGTTTGTGTGCCATAAAGATTTGTATATTCATAACATTATTATCTTGCTATCTTTTTGGGCATCAGTTTGCTGATATCTCCTTTTTTGTTCCTGATGTAGCGTTATAGAGATTTCTCTTTCTGCTTTTTGCTAGCCTTAGCCAATGGCCATGTCAATTTTTGGTTTATTTTTCAAAGAACCACTTTTTTGTTTTATTTAATCTCCTGAATAGCTTCTCTGTTTTCAATTTCGTGTTAGTTTCTGATTTGATCTGTTGATTTCACTTCTTTGCTGCCTGGGGTTTCGGGCGGGCTTGGTCTGGCTTCTTCTTTTTCCAGCTCTTTGAGTTGCTTCATTTAGGTTGTCGTAGTTTGTTGATCTTTTTGTCTTTTGCGTTATAACCATTGTATGGCGGAGGATTAACTTTCCTCTCAGCAACTGCTTTTTAGCTGTGCGGCCCAGCAGGATTTGGATAACTTGCTCTCTCCATTTTCATTTCTCATAGCAATATGTTTAATTTCCATCTGATTTCTTGCATTTATGAGAGCTAATCCATTTAGTAGGAGGGTTTGCTTTAATTCCACGTTTTTGTGCCTAGAAATGCTTGGAGTTTCTGTTAGGGCGTTGCACGTGGATTTCTCAGTTTTATTCCACTGTGCATGCTGGAGAGGGTACGATGGTATGATTTTATTTTTTTTAATTTCTTGGAGATTTACTTTGTGTCCTAGGATTATCGGTCAATTTCTAGGAACAGGTCCCATGAGCCTGTGAGAGACGTATATTCAGTGGATTTTGCTAGAATTCCTTCAGCTCAGACCCAATTGCTTCCAGGGTTTGTTTAAGTCCGGAGTTATTCTTCTTTATTAATTTTCTGTTTGTAGATCTGTTCTTGTGCCATTAGTGGGTGTTGAAATCTCCGAGTGTTATTGCGTGTTGCTATTAATCCATTTTGCGGGTTAGCATCGGTTAAGGTTGCTGTTATGAATCTTGGGTGCCACCTAAGTTGGCGTGCATATATATTTGAAAATTGTGTATCTGCTTTCTTTGCTTGAAGCTGTGCCCTTCACCGATTTGTATAATGACCCTCTTTGTCTTTCACTACCTTGTTTGGCTTTTAAACTAATCGGTTCTGAAATTACGAACTGCCCGGTATTGCTAGCCTTCTTTGGCCTTTCACTTGCGCTGTGGTATACTGATCTCCACCCTTTTACTTTTGTCTATATGTCATTCTTGCAGCTTAGATGGTGTTTTTTCTTTCGTTTCCTTAAGACAGCATGATACTTGCCTGTATTTTCTTATCCATTCAGCCAGGCTATGCTCTCTTGGAGTGGAGAGTTTAAGGCCATTCACATTTATTTAGGAACTGATATGGTAAGGTAGATTACTGTTCATCTGTTGGTTGGGCATGTTGTTGCTTTGATTTCTCTCTTGAGCCATTTATTATCTCAGCGGCGCGGGTCTTTAATCTTTGGGTTTGGCGTTGTTTTATAATTGGTGGAGGGTTTTTATTATGGTGTTCCGTGCCGTTAACACTGTTTTGGAGTACGTTCTTGGTAGGGCGGGGTCTTGTCTTTTGGTGATTGCTCTGAGCCTTTGCCCTTGTCTGGAGATGCTTTATTTCTTCCTTCATATATGAAGGCTCTATTTGCAGGCGAATAAGATCTAGGCCTGGGGCATTGTTTTGTTTCAGAAGAGTGAGCGTGGAGAATGGCCGGGCCCCCAGTTCTCTCCTTGCTGTAAGGTTCTCATTAGAGAGTCTGGTGTTATTCGAATTTTGGACTTTTCCCTTGTATGGTCACTTGCTCTTTCGTCTTACAGCCCTCTTAGCAAGGGGCCTCTTTAGTTGATATTTTGTCAGTCTGGATGATTGCATGTTGTGACATCTTCCTGTCTTGCCATTGATTCTCCCAGCGGGGTCCTCTGGAGGCCTTCTTGAACTTGTATATCGAGATTTGGAGCAAGCCTTGGGAATTTTCCTCATTATATTTCAAATTAGGTTGGTTCCAACCCTTTCGGACGCGCCAGCGGGGCGCGCGGGGACGGCGTTTTCTCCTTCCCCTGTCTGGCAAACCCTATGACCCTCACATTAGGCATTCTCACATAATCCCACATCTCTTGTAGGCTTTTGCTTCTTTTCTCTGTGGTTTTTCTCTCTTCTATCTTCTGCTGACTGGTTTCATTGTAGTTGGAGGATGTGGTATCTTCAATCTCGAGATCTTTCTTTTGTTTGATCTACCCTGTTCTTGAGGACCTTTCCACTGTATTTTTATAGGTGTCCCTGAATTGCATTCTTCATTTTCCAGCAGCTTCACGTTAACTTTGTCTTCATTATGTCTATTTCTTTTAGGTGAACTTGTTACGTCCTGGAGCGCTTTTGTTGGCTTCTTTATTGCGTGTTATTTGAGGTTGCCTGTGTTTGCAGCTCGCCGGGTGAGGTGTTCTATGAATTCCACATACGAAATTCTCTCTGTCATTATTGCTTTTCCTGATTTGCGGTTCGGTGGTCCGTGGTCTAGGGCTTGGCTGCTCCTCTTTGGGTGTTTTTTCCGTTGGGTTTCATATTCCTGAGTTCTTGCTGATTTCTTCCCATGCTCAATTTAGCTTGTTGTTTCTGTCCTTTAGCGTCCGGTTGTTGTTTGGGTATTCTATCACACCGTGTTTAGGTTTCTGCAGGCCGGTTAGGTGGTGTCTATGGGTGAGATTCGACCACTCCCTGTATAATGAGTCAGTGGGTG